GTATATGAATAACGACCGCTTAAAATCGATTTCAAAGTTCTACTTTCGCTGTAGAAATTTTAGGTCTACGTTATGTAGTTTGACTATTGTCAATTAAATCGAATGCTTTGTATTGCATGCGCTCCACGTACATATATACTTTTTAACCATTTATAAAAGCGTTGTATATTAAAAAGTTTTTTTTATATTATTTATTTCCATTTATAAAAGCGTTGTATATTAAAAAGTTTTTTTTATATTATTTATTTTCTACTTTTTAGTCCTGTCTGAATAAAATTTCGCAATAGATATTAAATTAATTCAACGATATTAATAGAAAGGTGCACACACATGCATTTACATATGTATGCACATACAAACGAGCACCAATTAATTTTATTTAAAGAAATGGCGTGTCGTCTATTTCCGCTGTAGCAAACGTAGTACATAGGGCGACATCTAGATGTCATCTACCTCGCCCTATTCACTACAGCTGTCGCCCTATGGACTATGCTTTTTTAAGAAACTGTTCAAAGCTTTGCTTTGGTGTCGGACACACAACATTGAAAGTTTCTGGATCCACAACATTGAAAGTTTCTGGAGCCACAACATTGCAAGTTGATAAAAGCGTTGTAAAATCCATTAAGCGGTGACTGTCTGTCCGTCCGTCCATCCGTTTGTGCACACGATAACTCGTGTAAAAATTAAGATATCTTAACGAAACTTGGTACGTATACTTCTTTCGGGCGCAGGACGGATGGTATTGAAAATGGGCGAAATCGGAAAATAACCACGCCTACCTCCCTTATAACGGTAATTTTCAGAAATACGAAAAATGCGATATTTTAGTAACTACTGAAGATTATTCACTAAAAATTGATATTTACAATAATTTTTAGACGAAAAATAAGAATATTATAAATTTTTGAAAAATGGGCGTAGCCACGCTCACTTATGGTTACATGTGTATATCTTGGCGACCGCTGCACCGATTTCTTCGAAACTTAGCACAGTTATTGGCCTTGGTACAGGATACCAAATGGCCGGAACCACGCCCACATCCCATATAACGGTAATTTGGAGAAATACGAAATCTTCGATAAATCAGTAAATATTAAAGCTAATTTATTCAAAATTGACGCTGGCAACAATTCGTTACCAACAAATACATTTATGATAAAATTTTGGAAAACGGGCGTGGCACCGCCCACTTATGATAACATATATGTATATCGGTAACCGTTCTACCAATTTGTACCAAACTCGGTACGGTTATTGTGCTTGCCACATAGAAGCAAAACGTCGAAATTTATTGAAATCGGACTAAAATTACGGCCAATTTGCATATAAAGGTAAATTTTAGAAATGCATGAAACTTCAATATTTCGAAATTTAAGGACGCTAATTTACTCAAAATTGATACCCCCCGGCTTACCATGTAGCGGGAGCTTTCGGAAAGATGAAAAACATATATTTAATATTTGCGGCGGGTATTTAATGTTCGGCTCCGCCCGAACTTAGACTTTCTTACTTGTTTTATCATGCGTGTTAGCTGATCATAATATGTTTCTGATCATTTGAGACAACATGTTGTGTGTTGTTGAATATGACAGCTAATGTATCTAGTCGTTCAGAAGACGCATTACAATTACTGATTTTTTAGCAACGTTTGCGCTCAATTGCTGCCCCTTCTGAACCTACCTGATGCTGTCTTGAGACGTACATACAAATATGTATGTACATATCTACTAAACATAATATAAAAAAAGAAGAGAAAATTTGTTGGTGTATTCTAGTCGCTTAAAATCGAAGTGATTTTGTCAAAGAGGAAGTGGAGAAGTGTTCGCCATAAAAGTGAAGTGAAAAATTTCGATCGTAGTGAAAACGGCAACAGTGTTCGAAACATCACGAGTTCAAGTCCCGGGCGACGGAACTTTTTTTTTGTTAAATTAAATTTCTTTTCTTTTTAATTAATCAAGAAGAAACAAATTTATTTGAATTTGATTTAATTTATAAAACCATTTATTTTAAAAAATTATTATTATTTTTGTTTTTTTCTTTTATTTCTTACTTAATTAAAAAACTTTAAAGACGGACAGCATAACACTAAGACCTCTTCGTTAGCAGATCTTTCAACTAGTTTTTCGAAAGACAGTAAAGAGCTTTAAGGATAGTTACCAGAACTTTTGTCTTTTGAAGGACTGTGGTGGGGTGAAAGACAGTTGACAGAATTACTTTGTTAGCCAAGTCCCTTTATATTGGTCCGGATTTCTCTTCGTCAAACGCACCACCTGCATCGCTATTCAAGAAGTATTGATTTTATATCTCAGAGATATATTTATCCATCTTTTTAAAAAAGAAATCTCTCTTCCGCATGGTGGTTTTATATGCCATTTAGGGCCATCTTCTAATGTAAGCAGTAAAGTTGCGTTTACTAACAGGGCAGAAAAATTGTTCCTCACTTTAAAGTGTTTTGGTTTTCTTATCTTACCGGTAAAAATAAATTTGTTATTCCGTAGAGTGAAACTTCACTACATTTCCGAGAGTGAAACTTCACTACATTCGTCATATAATTTCAAAGGTTGGCAATGCCACATGAGCTAATATAGAGCAAGAGCAACTGTTAGTAAAAACCAAAACCTTGGTGGAAATATCTAATATATCTGCCTCATGAACCAAAACCGAACCAAAATTTAAAGTTGGATACACATTGTTACGATTATCCTTGAAACCTCGTCCGGATTTCCCAAATCCTCGGTTCGTATCGCTGGATTGTTAAATAAATGCTAACGATGACCAAATTGTAGTACAATTATCTTTATTGTACAACAAACAATTTACAATATTCGCTAACACAGTAAAAACACTTTACAATACTTGTTAAAGCAATAACAACGCTTTACTAAACTTGTTAACACAATTAAACTTATAGCTTGCTTATTCGCAACTCACTTCTCTGCTCACTTTACTTGTACCTAACTCACTTCGCTGTGGCGGCGCCCTTATATACCTGCGCTCGTACTTATGGCAACTCTAGAACGTTCTGAAGTTTATCGCTCATTCTCTTTCTCTCGCTGTTCGCAGTGTTCATCCAACCTGACGCTTCTCTTTGTGGAACATTCTACGTCATTCGTCGAACATTCTGCCTATTTCTCGTTGTTCGCTTCGCGTTGCCGTAGTATTCGCCACAATGGCCTACACCTCCACGCTACAACCGCTGCAAGTCTTTCCAAGTGGACCACTTTCATCTTGGTCCTCGGTCTCCCCATTGTCTGGATTCGATGCACTGCGTCTTTCAGCCGTTTGTCAATCTTAAACGGATCTTTCCAGTTACGATGTTGTTCGGAGGTGAAGCCTTTCTTCGGCTGCGGTATGTGCAACAACACCAAATCGCCTTCCTGTAGCTCCTCTCGGCTCGATGCGTTACTGGACATTGCTTCCAGCTTATCTCCGGTGGTGCACCATCTCACATGGTCGTGCTCCTGCCGGCCACTGGTGGTGACCAGACCATGTCTCCTCTTGTGGGCACCCCTTTTGCCAGATCTATGCCGCACCCTCTGTCCATGACACCCAGGCTCCTGTCTTCATGCTGCACAGCCTTTAACACATCTTGCTATATCCGGTTCCTCACGCTGAAACTTACCCAGTGTTTCCGCATCTCGTTCTTTCGCCGGTGTCAACCTCATTGACCGGACATGTAGAACCTCATCCTTGGCTTCCGGCTTAACTGCTCGCCTTTGCCGACCACCTTTTTCGGGACACTTCAAAGCGCGCCTACTGCTTCCATAGCCGCTTCCATTTCCGGCCACCGGCGTATCACCATTGCAACGTGGTTTAGCGGCTTTCCTCCTGCCGGAAACACTGCCTAGCTCGCCATGACCACTTACTTTTTGCGACCTCTTCTTCACTGAGCTGGCGGAACCGTCATGCTTTTCCTGTATCGGTGAACCGCTTCCTTCTTCTGACGAAACCACTCCGTCTCCATTACTGCCAACCTCAGCCCAACTAACCGCTTCCGTTTCTGGTGGAATCTTCGACACTTCCTCTAAGACTAACCGTCTGCTGCAGTACTGGCTGTCGTAACCAACCCTAAGTGGCACTTTCCTGTCGCCATAGGTTATGATCATTCCCTGGAGGTCAATCTTCATGCCTCGCCGAAGTAGGAAATCCACGCCGATGATGACTTCACCGACAATGTCTGCCACAACAAAATTCGTGTACGAGGCCAACCCGTCGATTATTACCTCGCATGGTACTTCTCCTAACACTTGGGTGCGTTCACCAGTTGCAGTCTGCAGCTTTGCTCCAGGTAGTGGCTTCACATAAAAAGTGGCCAAATCCGGTCGAATAATGGAATGTGTCGCTCCAGTATCCACTGTCAGTACTCTCTCCTGCCCATTCACACATCCACCAATAGTGAGGTTGCTCGCATTCCGGCCAATTTGTGAGACGGAGATTATGGGCCCTTCAACTTCTGGAGCCAGCACGCGGCCCTTCCTGCTGGCTCGTTTCAGTTTAACGACTGATTGGAGTTGGCTTCGTCTCCTTCAGCCCTGCGTTTGCGTCCTGCTGAATTGTTGAGCCCACTGGAACTTGCGCTGCAATCGCGGGCGAAGTGGCCTGGCTTTCCACATTTAAAACATTTGCCAGAGCCATGCTTTTTCTCGCCCAGCAGTTGGATAATCTTCTTCAGCATTTCATTTGTCTCGTCCGGTGTTTCCACTTCCACGCGATGTGCTTTGTAGGCTGGTCTACTTAGGAGCGCCGCCGTTTCACGCGTCTGAGCATACGAGACAGTTTCAGCAAATGTTGGCTTTGGATTCGCGTACTTCTCTCGCTTGGTATACACGTCCCGCATTCCGTTGATGAACCTCTGGATTTTTACCCTTTCGAGGTGCCCACCAGATGCGTCTCCAATTGCCAAATGACCCAACCTTTCTATCTCAGAGGTGAATTCCTGTAAAGTCTCGTTGGATTTCTGGCAGCGATTCTCCAGCTCCATCTGGTAAATCTGTCTCCTGTGCTCGCTACCATAACGTCTCTCCACTGCACCCATTAACGCATCGTAACTGTTCCTTTCACAATCGGGAATAGTCTGCAAGATTTCTGCCGCAGGTCCTTTTAATGCAACGAATAGTGCAGCGGATTTATCCACCATGCTCCAATGATTTGCTGCAGCCGTTTTTTCGAACTGGAGCTTAAAGACCTGGAAAGGAATCGTGCCGTCAAAGGATGGGGTTTTTACCTTCGGTGCGCTCGTCGAAGTAGCTGGACGATTCAACTGTAAATCACGAAGACGTCCTTCCAATTCTTCTACCTTTGCTTCGACTTTCTCCAGTCTCTCTTCAATTTTGTCCTGTATTAGAGTAATTTTTTCATCCTGTGCTTCCAGCTGTGATGATATGCGTTCCTTCTGTGCCTGTAGCTGAGTTTCTAACCGGGATGACACCTGCGATGACACCTGCGCTGATACCTCTGAAGATATACGTGTCTCCAACGCTTGCATCTGTGAGGAAACGTCTGCAGACAACTGCGACCTCTGTTCCTGCATCATCTGTGACATGGCAGCCAATAACGTGTTCANACATTCGCACATGACATTCTACGCCATTCCTCGAACATTCTGCCTATTTCTCGATGTTCGCTTCGCGTTGCCGCANTTCATACCTGTTGATGAACTAGGAGCCTTTTGCTGTTCTTCACCCTTACCGGCTATCTGCTGCAAACCCTTCGACGAACAATCAGCCTCATCCTTCTGTTCGTTCTTCGTTAATGGCGTATCGTCCTCACGATGAAAGTCGTATTTGTCAACGTCGATACCTTCCTTTTCCATAGCCTCTCGCAGCCGTGATAGTAACTCTACTTTCCTTCCGGAGGTTGCTAAATTTCGCTTCTCCAACTCCTGTTTGAGTTCCTCGATCTTTAGGTCTTGAATTTTTGCCATTTTCAAAAGTTTGTCCTTCGGGATTTATTTAACAATCCCACTTCTGACACCAGTTGTTACGATTATCCTTGAAACCTCGTCCGGATTTCCCAAATTCTCGGTTTGTATCGCTGGATTGTTAAATAAATGCTAATGATGACCAAATTGTAGTACAATTATCTTTATTGTACAACAAACAATTTACAATATTCGCTAATACAGTAAAAACACTTTACAATACTTGTTAAAGCAATAACAACGCTTTACTAAACTTGTCAACACAATCAAACTTATAGCTTGCTTATTCGCAACTCACTTCTCTGCACACTTTACTTGTAGCTTGCTGACTTGTAACTAACTCACTTCGCTGTGGCGGCGCCCTTATATACCTGCGCTCGTACTTATGACAACTCTAGAACGTTCTGAAGTTTATCGCTCATTCTCTTTATCTCGCACATTCGCACATGACATTCTACGCCATTCCTCGAACATTCTGCCTATTTCTCGATGTTCGCTTCGCGTTGCCGCAGTATTCGCCACAACATTTTTAGAGATTGCATCGGGTGAGCAACAATTTATCGATTCGAGAAATTAATGCGCTGATGAGCAAACGAAAACTCGTATATCGAGACGATAAACTGGCCGGTAATCTAAAGGTTAGATGAGAAAACGGCGCTATAAATCTTATTTATGTTTCGATTTGCTTGAAATTTGGGACGTAGGTAGCTTTTTGCCTAGATTGGCAAATAATATCCTTTTTTCCGGCAATTGGACCAAGGACCGATCTATTCGAAAAAAATCTTCCGCAAGGTGCCGCTGGAGTTTAGTTTTTGCTAAAAATCGTCAAGTGGAGTCATTCTGCGACACCGGGGATCAAAGTCAAATTAACACCGTTGCCTACAAATACAATTATAAGACATTTACGGTATTTCGTCTGAAATAAGTCTATGTATATCGGATTTCTGTGGACCAATGATACTCCCCCATTTGTAAATTGCCACCAACTATACTATACAGATTCGAGGACGATTCACCATCGAACCGGATAATTGTTGCCGCAAGAACTTCTTCAAGACATAACGCTTACTTTAGGTTATTTACCACGGCGAAGTATATTCTTTCTGACGACACAAACACCAAACTCGAACGTGAATAGTGGTGAAAACGTTGGACAAAATGTTTCAATAAAAAAGTAAATTTTGGGTGGTACTTTAATATTTTTCCCTATCAACTTGACAACGTATTATTTTTGTTTAGGTTTGTATAACAGCTGATTGCTAGACGCTTTTCATGATTCTACCAGAAGAAAAAGTTCGGTTAAAATCTTTGCACTTCATTCTCTACACTATTCTTCGAAAATTCTTCTCATTTAGAGGATTTTGGATTACGGGAGAATTTTTCCTGTAACTTCCTCAAAGTTCGTATTAAAACCAGTCAGTACATGGAGTTCTGGATCAGAGCTATTTATAACTTGCATTTCATCGTTTTCTGGAGTATTCAAAATTGACTACACATACCGACATTTCTAAGGTCTTTGACAGAGTATCACAAACGAACCTAGTAAATAAGTAAGCTTGCCTAAGCTTTAATTCCTCTTATCAGCGCTGTGGTTTTAAAATTGTCGTTGACAAAATTGTCACCAATCATATGAAATTTATATATAATAATTGCATTTGCATTATTTTAGTTTTTACAAATATTCAAATCATTGAAATGTAAAACAAAACCTGTGAAATTTTTTCCGAGTGATAATTGTCAGCACCACTGTCAGACAATTGTCGACAATATTCCAGAACCGTCACTGTCGGTTTCCGAAAATTGTCACAATTACCTTCAGGCGTCTATTAAACCGGAAAAATTTCGACAACAATTCTGGTTGTGTAATTTTTCGGAAAAATCGACAATCGGATGAAGTAGACGCAAGGTAATATTAACTAATCTTCATGTATAGTCCCAAATTTTTTGGCTAATTTAGAGAGGACCCCTATTTAAACACCAAAAAATATTTTCGCTCGCATTATACCCGTCCAACCTCTCTAAAGGGGAAGGAAATGTTTTTTATTTAATGTTCATTATTTTGGTCATGTTACCGACTGAAAGCCGCCAATATGACCAAAGATAGAGCCTCCCCGAATTGGTAACTCATTTTGTTTTTTCGTTTTCCAACAAAATAATTTTCACTAATTTCAGAAGTCTAGGACGTGTTGAATCTCGGAGGTAATTTAGAGGTTGAAAAAGGCACTTGCCAGAAAAAGGTTTCAAACAAAAGTTGCATACTTTTATCCTCAGAATCCGAATCTGTAGTAAAACTATTTATGACTAACCCAGTAAGTTTTACCACCAAAAGATAAAGCATTCCCCATTTGGTAGGTCATAGTTTTGTATTTTTCAATAAAAACATTTGACTCCATTTTAGAGGAGTTGGACGAGGGGTCTAGGACACCCTGTATATACTACGCGACAGAGCGTACATATGGGATGTACCTTACTCTATTGCTAATTTTGTCGCAGATAATGGTACGTAGACTACGGATCTTGGAGTATTATTTGACTACCTATCGGTGGGCCATATGTACATTCATACATACATATGTCCACGATTATATGAATAAATTTATATGTATGTATATAGATATGTATATGGAGGTAACTAGTACGAAAATGTGTAAATTTATACACACAAAAAGTACATGTGCTTACAAACGCATATGTTTACATTTCACCGAAATGCAATTTATAAAAGTTGTTGTTCTTTTCTACATAAAAAAAAACATTGAAAATTAATTATTTCACTTTTAGCGGAAAAATAATAACAAGAATATCAAGAGGGAAAATAACAGCAGCAGTAACATGAAAACAACTGCAACGGAAACTAAAGTAGAAGCCGAATGCTATGCGAATGCCATCAAAAGCAATGCATCAACAGCAACAGCGATTGTTATTGAACAATGGGCGATATGCAAATGAAAATGAAGTGTGAAAAATATGGTATGTGCATACCATGATAGTGAAAAAAACATGTTCATACATGCATATGTGCATACCTATGAAGGCATATGTAGGTATGTTAGCAAAGATGGGAAGATGGAAATTAAATCATGTATACATTAATAACATGAAATGGAATAAATTATAATTACAATTAAATATGACAGCTGATGCTTACTACAAACCTTAAAAATATGTAAGTATGTATGTTTGGCGACTACAACACGTGTTAAAACACATGCAAAATATGTAAATGGTATTAAGTTTGTTTGCGTGAACGGAAGCTAGCCCCTGCAGAAAGTTACTTTTTTATCAACTTAGGTCTTGATTTCTCTAAATACCAACTGACGAGCAAAATAAAACTGACTTCGCAAGCCCTCATGCATATTTTCTTATTGTGCCTTTAGTTCACAGTATCTACAGTAATAAACCTTTTCGCAGTTTTTCACCATTTGGTCCCCGAGGAGTACTTTTGGGTTGTGTGCAGCGTGTTCGTTTTGCGCGCACGGCAACACTTACTGTGGGGAATTTCGCCTCACGATTAGAAAAAGTACTTTTCGAGGATAAAATATACACAATTATGTGTTATTTATGAACAAAATGTAGGTTAAGTATAATATTCATCTTTAATGTATGCTGATATTCATGCGTAATGAAGAAACTGGAAAACTCAAATCGTAATTATAGCATTGAATGGATTTTTCTTAAATGTAAGTTTAAAATAAAAAAAGTCCATTGTAAGATTAAATTTTTTATGAAAACCGTAAATTTTGTGAATTTATCAAGCCAAATTCTAAATTTCCGAATATATTTAAGTCTTTATTAGAATCAACGTATTGCAAAAATAGTAGAAATTTAAACAAATTTTTATTTTTGTTATAATCAAAATTTTCAAATATCAATTACAACAAGTAAAGAAGTATAAGTTCGACCGAAACCGAACTTTATATACCCGGCGCAGGTATCAAATATCGTCGTTTGAACTTTTTCTGAACTACCTTTGCATGATAAGTAGGGGTCTTTACCCGATTTCAAATGTTTTCGATAATACGCAGAGTTAGACTTACTGATATAATTGAACCTGGTTAGGTACAAATCGATTAAGTGGTTACCGAGGTACACCTTTGTAGTTATAAAGTTGGCGGTGCTGCGCCCAATTCCCAAAAGTCAGTTATTGAAATATCGGAGTTTTCGTATTTCGGAAATTTACCGTTATACGGGAAGAGGGAGTAATTTTAGTCGAATTTCAATAATTTTCAACAAATTGCTTTTCCGTACCAAGGATATTAAGTGCACCGAGTTCGGTGGAAATCCGAGATACACATTTGTGGTCATAAGTGGGCGGCGCCACGCCCATTATCCAAAAATTTATAATATTCTACTTTTTTGATAAGTGGTTATTGTATTCATCGATTTTAAGTGAATTAGCTCCAGTAGTTACTGATTTATTACAGTTTTCGTGTTTCCGTAAATTACCGTTATATGGCAGGTGGCCGTGTTTATTGGCCGACTTCAAAGATTTTCAACAGATTTCTTAGCTAGGCCCTAGGCAAGGCTCGTACCGAGTTTGGCATGTCATCATAAGTGGGCGTGGTCACGCCCATTTTCAAAAAATTTCTTAATAATACTATTTTTTACCAAAATTCTGCTTCACATACTAATTTTCAACAATTTGCATCTAATATATTCTGAAATATCGCAGTTTTTGCATTTTTCGAAAATACCGTTATATGGGAAGTGGGCGTGGTTACAGTCGGATTTCGCCCATTTTCAATACCAACCTACCTTGGATACATATCAAATTTTGTTCAGATATCTAAATTTTTGCACGAGGTATTCTGTACACGGACGGACGTACAGACAGACATGGCTTAATCGACTTCTCTTTTGATTCTGATCATTTATGTATACATTTGTCCATATCTATCTCGATTCGTTTTGGCTGTTACAAACAGCCGTTATGCGAACAAACTTAATATACCCTTGTGCACGAGTGCGCTCAGGGATGAAAAGTTTGCTTTGCGTGCTTTGGCTTGAGCAAACTTTTGGATGGCTTTGGACAAGGCAATCTGTGTGGCAATCCCGGTAAAGTATCCAAAGCGTTAAATCTTGTTTGAGACATGGTAGATCATAAATACGTCTTGATTAGCTTCAATTTCTAAAAACTTCGCTCCCCACTGGCAAATAGTGATGTGCTGAATTGCCGGTGCTCAATACTTTATAAAGATTTCGGTACCGAATACTTCCTTTACGGTACACAGTACAGATTCTATGCATACATTAAACCTTCGCCATAATCTGGTAGGTTCTGCGATTCACTTCCGAGTGAATTTCAATCTCATTGGTTTTGAATTCAATTTGGCCGGGGTTGAAATTCACTCGCAAGTGAATTGCAGAACCTGACTAAATATACATTTCTAGTTAACGGTCAGTATGCAGATCTCAAGAAAACGGTAAAGAAAAAATTGCCATTATTTCGCGTGTGTGTCCAACGAATTTTGACATCTGATACCTCACCAGCCTCACTCTTTCCTCAAGAAATAATGGAACGGGCATATATTTCTGTTGCAAGCATGGGTTGCCTTGTGCGCTTTTTCACAAAAAACTTTAGAAAACCGTAGTAAAAAGCTTAGCAAACTTCTTAAGAATTGCATACTGCCTCAATAAAATTTTACACAAGAAAATTTCTTATCCATTTATTGTACGTCATTTCATATGGAGTTTTTCTTTTCTTTAGAGCTGCATACTGGCCTTAAGAAAAACAAATTTATTTCAATTTGATATTTGAATGTATCTACATGATATTGCCTAAAATACAATTCGGCGTATTGATAGTGAAAATAAAGTCGACACTAAAGTTAGTTGGAGCTTATTGACACAATTTTCAGCAGAATATCTTTAAATACGCTGCATCGTCTTTATTTAGACTATGAAAATATTTCACAATTAGTACGAAGACGATGCTTGCCCAAAAGTTTTAAAATTTGTACTGAACAATGAGGAAACCACAAATCGAAAATACTGCCGTCGCAAACTCTCATCACCTTTTCCTTATCGCAGCAGTAAAATAACATTTTATCAGTTTCCACCTTCGTAGAACTAAAACTCATGAAAAATGCTTTGACGAATGAAGAAACCTTTCAGGCCAACAAAGATAATATCGTCCGATTCATCTACACTGAGGGGAAAAAATATTAAAATTAAATAGAAACGTAATTGATCTTACTATAAACGTCAACGAAAGTACTGTATATTGGTAAATATTCAATTCAATTACGCGCATATTAAATGACCGCGTTCATTCTAAAAAAGCATTCGTGAAGTGAATAATCAAGACAAAAACTAAAAAAAAAAATATTTAACTTGCATGTTGCCTGCAGTGGAATTCGAACCCTGACCATCTCTGGATATCAACAAATTGTGGCATGCATCTTTGCGCACTCAGCTACACCCAGGAATATAAATTTGCTTTCAAATGTTGAATATCCATCATGATTCAACAGCTACAGGTTGTACATTTACCGTTGGTATGAACTCCTTGTGTCATCAACATCTTTATATATTCATATTCGTATGTATATGTATACCCTGCACACCAGGATTTCATAGAATTCTGAAAGGTTTCACAATTTTTTTAAGAATTTTCTTTAAGAAATCGTACAGAAATTTCTTACTAGTTCCTGTCAACCGCTTCATATGTTTTTCTCTAAAGATTTCTAAAAGAATCGTAACAAATTTCCGACACTCTTAAAGATTTCGAGAGCATTTGTTTGCAGGGTATATATATACGGATATGTAAGTAAAGCAAAACAGGCGATAATTTGACACAAGCGTGCTCATAAGAAGAAGCATAGCTTCTATCGCTATCACCTGTAATTTTTGCGCCTTGAATATCCATCAACACCACAGCACGCGATTTGTACGGATAAACATGTACTATGTATGAATGTGTGTGTTATTACCGCTCTCGGAGCGGCGCTCTGCATGCTTGGTGTGCGTATGTCAGTGCTGCCAACTATTTTGGAGTAAAAAAATCCAGATTTTTATAAAAACCCGCCAGAAAAAGCTAAATTCCACAAAACAAAAGCCGAAGAATAAATAGGTTCATATTAATTTAATTTTAAGCAAATCATTGGAAACATTACTTGAAATTAAAATTTGAAATCGAATAATATAGAATACAAGTTATGTTTAAGCAAAAAATAAAATTCAATTCTCATATAAAAATTTAAGTGTACCGTTATTTTCTTCATGATCCAATGATCGGATGTAAACCAAATAAGTATGGGACCACATATGAGTTACCGCCTTTTCTTTAAAAAAATAATTATAGAAATCGGTTAACGTGGTCCAAAGTTATGCGGTGACATATGTACATAACAAAAATATATTGCAACGAATTGATGGAGGTTTCGAAGTCGGTTAAAAAGTTAATATAACTTATGTATGAAAATTTCAGTCGAACGTTATTTTTTAACTAAACTTTCAGTTTTCACAAAAGTTAGGCAGGTTACAACTCATTTATAATTTTATATAAATTATCATCGGACTGATTATTATAATCGATACTCTGGTTTTCGTATGCCTTATTTGTTCCAATCATCTTTAAATAACTTCTTGGAATTTCATAGTCTGTGCAGCACTTATTATGCCTTTTAAGACCGTATCTGGAAATTTATGTTATTTAATATAAAACTTCTACACGAGTTGTTTATAAAAATTGTACCTTATACTTAATATAGCATTTATAGTAATTAAGTGTATACTGTTGCGTAGCTTTGTTTTCACCAAGTTTAGCTGACTGAATAATCGTTCCACGTCTGCATTAGACCAAGGTAGTGAAAGTAAATGAAGTGCAAATTCCGCCAAATCGGAAAACAATTTGTTACCACCTGCATCCGTATAAGTTTGAACTTCTGCCCAAAATTGCATTGTATTGCTTATATTATTCCATTTTACAAAATTAATTCTATTATACTGAATTATAATTTTTTCTATCATATCATCACTGTAATTAAAATGTTTTAAAACATCTTCTATCTCCTCATGCGATGCACGTAAAACATTGCCCACTGAAAACATATTAACTTTTTTAATCGTATCGAAATTATCTGGTAACCTGCAATAATAACATTTTTCAAATAATNCGTATGTACACTCATTAAGAATGATAGAATACAAGATTGCGCCAATGAGAGAGGATTTTTGAGCGTAATTTTTGCGTGACGTCATCTTGGTGCAATTGCGAGAGAGAAATGCCAAAACGCATATAAAAATATGTAAACAATGCAGAAAAATGTGTTAATTTTAATATTACATGGCCCAATTTTGCAGGAATCAATAAATATACAAAGATTGATTAATTAGGAACACGTAGCAATAATTTCGGACATGTAGCCCTTTAGGTAAGTACGATTTTTAGCACATGAAAAAATGGATGTATTATCAGTGTTTGCAATTTCATGTAGACCAAAAGGAAGGTGTGCAGTAAAGTGAATTTTTGGACTCGCCATTGTAAAAACCCATGCAGAGTGCATATTTATATTTGTGGACGGTGGCCAACCACCATAAACTCCACAGCTGTTGACTCCACAGCTTTGATTTGACGACTTTTGTACCATTTCCGAGAGTATGCATGAGTGTGGATCTTTGGAAACACATATTCTATGTAAGTAAAACATAATTTAAGCTGAACTTTTAAATGTATAATAATTTGGGCACTGTTTTGTATTAGGTACGTAACAGCGCGGTAAGATGCCGCTTGAATTAGCGCTTGGCGACCTTATTCACTGGTGCATTACCTCATACCAGCACTAAAAAGAATCAGGTACTAACAAAAATAAGTAGGTAGTGAAGTTCATGTATCTATTTACTGTAGAAACTGCTTTTGTATGTATGCCATTGCCAGCAAACTAAACCAGCAACTGTCTACATTCACCATGGAAATATACCTACTACAATTCACCAAGGAAAGGCCAACACAGTTCCATGTAGAAACTCATAGCTCCAACACATAGCACAAAGCTAAATTCGAACATATTTAAACGATAATCAAATGTAAACTATTCATTTTTACAATGCATTATGTCCCTCAGTGTAGAAAAAACTTTCAGATTAAGAAGAGTTTCTTGCATTGAGCCGACGGAAAATGCATTTAAATTAGCATTCAAAGCTTTATTAGCCCCTACACTCGGCTTATGATAGCCTTGGCTCTGCTGAACCGCTTTTTTTGGGACCATATTTCTTTTAATTGGAAGCATAAACATTTTGGTACGGAGTATCGAAAGTATTGGATACTTTTTAAATCGGTACCGAGTATCGATCAATACTTAAAAGTATCGACTGAGCATATCACTCCTGCAAAGTCAAGCAAATCCTGAGGGAAATCCAAACATTAGGAACGACACCGATGACATTTTTCTTGACGATAAATTGAAGAACCTCCAATGGCCGTTTGATGGATGTAGGTTTAATATGCCGTAATTATTTCAACTCTTCCAAATGCTCCAATCCATATATGTCCGAATTCTCTTCAGCTAAGAGAGCGGTGCTCTACTGCCGACATTTCGATAGTAAAAAAGTGTCGTTTCTATTGAATCTGGAGACTCTTGCTAAATCGATCTTCTGATGTGAAATATGCAGACTCATCTTGACTTTCGTACTGGCCAAATCATACGTTTTATGGCGTGGACATTCCTATTATGTATAATGGTCTTGCAGCGAGTTTCAATTTTCTGAATTTGGTTTACTGACTAGCATTAACTAATCAGCATTAACACAAATAAAACCATCATTAACACCAATAATAACGTCAGCCTTGAAATCCAACGGAGAATCGCTCTTGCCAACAAGTGCTACCTACTTTGGACTGAGTAGGCAACTGACAAGTAAAGTCCTCTCTCGTCTTACAAAGATCACACTCTATAAGTCAGTCAACATTAGGGATAAATCGATACCATCAAGGTATTACTCGAGTCAGTATATGTACTTGTATCAAACAAGGTATCGATACCTACTCAGTATCGGAAAGGTATCGCGAACTTGTACATAGAACTACGATTTTCCACATTTTCAAAGTTATTGTATTTTTTTCACAAAAAATATACATTTTTAAAAGATTATTTAGCTTTTACTATTTTGTATCCAAAAATTTAATACAGCAATTAATTTTGTATAGTATTTGATTTCAAAACCAATAGAATACATTTTCAGAAAATTAATAGAAAAATTTTTTTCATATAAAATAAGTTTAAGACAAGAACTCCTTTTTTGTTACATTTCCTAAAAACATAAACTTTTCCAAGTGTTTTCCTGAAAGGCGGTTTCGAGATTTGTATATAGTTTGTTGTGTGCAAAAGTTTTGCACATGCTTATGGAGTTCTGCCAGCGCTGCCCATGCCTGCTCTAATGGGTTGCTTTTTAAAGAGGATGCTGGGGCATAATAACCCTCCAGTACTGCTGGAGTCAATCGCTACTTTTGAACCGCTACTGCACCGATTCCTAGGTAAGTAGCTACTCTATTAACCCGTGGTAGTGCACATGGTAGTGTAGAGTCGAATCAGTCGTAAGCAGAATAGCGAAAAACTACGACAGAGGGCGCCCATAAATCACGCCAGTGACTACTTAAGTAACTCCCGGTAGTGCAGAGAGAGCCGATGGTGGCTACCGCCTAGGACATTGCCTTGTAAAAGTAATGGATGAAATACACTGCAAGTAGTCGGTCGGTAATTGACGGTGTTTATTAGGTAGCTACCGATTCAGCAGTCCTATAGTCACTCCCCCGTACTGCAGGGAAGTTTTGCGCTTGCGATACAAGTGGTTTTTTTCCTTCGATACCTACTTGGATCGCAGTAAAAGGTATCGAGTACAAAAATACTTTGTAAATTCAGAAAAGTATCGAGTATGTACTTGAATTTACTTGTATCGATTCATCCCTACTCATCATGCCTGTGCTGGTGTATGGCGCGGAGACATGGACAATGAAAACATTTGATGAAGCGGCTCTTGGAGTTTTCGAGAGAAAGATTCTGCGAAACACTTACGGACCTTTACGCGTTGGCGATGGCGAATACCGCAGACGATTTAACGATGATCTGTATGAGCTTTACAACGATATAGACATAGTGCAGCGAATTAAAATTCAGCGGCTCCGTTGGCTTGGCCATGTCGTTCGAATGGACAGAAACGCTCCTGCTCTGAAAGTGTTCAACGCGGGCCGCGATGCTGGTAACTGAAGAAGGCGTCCTCTTCGTTGGAAAGACCAGCTGGAGAAGGATTTGGCTTCACTTCGCATTTCCAATAGGCGTCAGTTGGCACAGAAGAGAAATGACTGGCGTGCTGTTTTGGACTCGGCCAAAAACGCTTAGGCGGTTAAAACGCCAATAAAGAAGAAGAAGAAGAATTGACTGACTAGATACATATTTAAGCCGAGTAAGTCCTAGCAGAATGATAAGATGTTAATTGCAGATTTTCACATTTGAAAATGTTATGGAATAAAAAAATAAACGCCACCTCAAAACACGCCACCGAGAAACAAATCTTGAGTCTTCAAGTGAAGTAATCTTGAAATTTGGTGAGGAGGAGCTCAGTAAAAATATTTTCAAACCACTAAACGAGATTAATATATCCAGATATGAAGGAAAATCCTTGCCCTTTAGTTTTGAATTGATTTCTAATATTCTTAAGTAGCTTGCTGAGGAACATGAAGCAGAAGATTTCATCAGAACGGCCAAAGATGTGGAATATGATGGACTTGAAAATTTTGCCGGCTACATAATTTCAAAAATGGGGTTGACGTAACTATACTCCAAACGCATGTAGGAAGCGATCAAAATTATACTTATGTTAATAGTTTCTCGGAAAGCGGCGTGTACAAGCCGAATTCAAGTTTTTTGCATACATTGAAAATTTTCAATCCAAAATTTTTGATGTTAACGGTAATACGCTAACCAAAAAGCCCAATTTTTTTTTTAAATTTAAAAGTTAATTTCGACCAATATATGTATTATAAAAATATTTTATTTGGGAAGAATATTCTTTAGAGTTAGATTTTTAAATCGCAAGATTAAAGGACCAAAATTGTATATCAAAATAAGAAAATAAAAAAATAACATAATTCGCTCGCCGTTTTTATTAAACTAAAAAGAATAATTTATTTGTGGTGTTTTTCCGATCAGTTTAGTTTGGTTGAAATTGTTATATTTGTTAGGCTTTTCTGATGTAACCGTTGTGTACATAAATATACTTTATTTAGCTTTTTTTTATTTTTAATAAAAAAACGTGCGAACCACGTAAGTAAAAAAAAATATCAATCACTGATAATGATTTTTGATTTGAAATATTATTTCATTGGTAAAATATGGGAAAGAAAATACTCCGAAGTATTGTTTTAAAATTATCAAAGTGGCAAGCCCGTTGATAATACCCTCAATTTATGAAACTTCAAATAATTTTATTATCCGTCAAAAGTTGTTTATGGAAACTACAAGCTGGGTTGTGCAAGACTTATACTTGACATGAATTACCTAGAAACTTAGACGCGATTGCTCAGCGTGTCACCCATTAAAGTATAAACAGAATCAATGCGCTGAGCGAATTTCGTCGGGCGGAGCGATGCCGCCGGATGATATTCGCCGCAACATTTCGCCCAGTAAAACAGAATCGAAACGAAATTCGCATCAGCTGATTGACAAACAAAAATCAAAAATATAAATATAAAAAAGCGAAAAAATGAGTCCCCAAATTTTTCGTTTAATTCAAATTACCAAACTTTTAAACATCATGTTTATAATGTGCAAGGCATTTCTGCAAGTGAGACAACGTTTACGAAGAAGATGGTGGGTGCGTCCAATAAATTTGAGTAGGAGAGAGCTCGGTTTCCACACTACATGCTTTTCGCAGTTGAAGCTAAGAGATGAGGAACACTTATTTACCGCAACAAGGATGAATGTAGCGAAATTCCACGTACTTCTGAACCTTCTGCGAGAAAGGTTGCATCGGTCTTCGCAAAGGGAACCAATTAACGAAGAAACACGCTTGGGAATTACGCTGCTGTGAGTATGTATCGATAGTCCTCTGCAATAACGACACAATTCAAAATTCAA